TGCTGCCTAACCCTACCACCAATTAAATAATGCAACAGAAAAAATAAAGCTACAAATTACTTTGAGGATACAAAGCTTGACAAAACTTGTACTTTTAGGATATAAATGATCCCACCAAACATGTTTATTAATCTGTTTAACCAGCATTCATCATAATGGTGAGATATTGTGTGATCGACATGTGATATATATGTGGTATTGCCTTTGTGATGACATGGATGTGATATATATGTGCTATATTGTGTTTGTGATGTCACAGATGTTATATATATATCTCTTATATGCTGTGTTTGTGAATATAGAATCAAAAAAAAATTAGTCTCTTTGCCGAGTGCCCTGACCCAGGCATTCGGCAAAGCTGGGAATCCTGCACCCAGCTTTGCCGAGTGCCAGGGCCAGGGCACTCGGCAATGATTTTACGAAAAAAAATTAAAAAATATTTGCCGAGCGCCGACCTGGCAGGGCACTCGGCAAAGAAATTATTAAAAAAATTAAAAAAATCTTTGCCGAGTGCCTCCCCGGTAGGGCACTCGGCAAAGAAATTTTGAAAAAAAAATTAAAAAATCTTTGGCGAGCGCCTCTGACATGGCACTCGGCAAAGCATGTACTAACACAACCGGCGCCGTGACGGTCACTTTTCTTTGCCGAGTGCCGAGATTGCATTCGGCGAAGACTTTGCCGAGTGCCCGATAAAAGGCGCTCGGCAAATAATTCTTTGCCGACGGATTTTTTACCGGAGGCTCTTTGCCGAGTGCTGCCCTCGGCAAAGGCTTTGCCGAGGGCAAAGTAGCCTTTGCCGAGTGCATTAGGCACTCGGCAAAGCGCCTGAATCCAGTAGTGTTGTGGTGGATAGATCGATGAGCTACGGTGCATGGGAGTCCGGAGCTGGGAGTGGAGACTGTGGAGATCGTGTGGGACTGGAGGAGATCGGGGCCAGGGAAGGAGATTGTGTGGGATTGGGAGAGGAAATCGTGCGCTGATTGACGGAGGAGATTGGGACCAGGAGAGGAAATTGGGATTGCTAGGTACGACTGAGTGGGTAAATTTTTTCGGTGAGAAAAAGCGGAGAGGGGAAGAGTGATGAATAGGGGAACACATCTATTTCGGTCATTTGTATCGTCCTCGGTGGGTTCTTGATAACTTGATTTACCCGAAAATCAACAATAGCCGTTAGTTGAAAATTATAAAATGCATCTAAAGGGGAGAGTTGTATTGGCCAGTATTTGAGGTTTTTTCATTCGAATATAATAGTCTACGACATAGATGTTTTTAATGACATGACAATATCTTTATGAAGAGAAAAAAAGAAGCGAGTTTCATCTCTCTTGGGACGATTACCAGCTTTACATGAGTTATGAAATTAAATATCTACGAAACTATACAACAAAACTATGCATTGAGGATGGATGTTTCATCCATGTTTCATTTCAGATTATGTGATGTGACAGTCTTCAAAACGACACTATGAAACTTTCCATTGAGAAATATCTTATTTAATGTTTACGGAACATGCATGTCTGCATTAACTACACTTTACAGCAGCAGTCGGGATAAAGACAGTAGGAACCATCTTTCTTGTGGCCCAACGTTGCGCAGTGAGCAACGCACGCTTCATTTCTGCAGGGTTGCGCATTCTGCCACCTGGAGCATTCCACCCTGCTTGGCCCTCCAGGGCAGCCTATGCAAACATGAGATGCAACACAGTAGAATTACTTAGACAAGACTTTTTGGTCACACTAACTTATCTTAATTTGAGAACAAAGAATAACGTAGAGTAAGAAAAATTAGTGGTGCGTACAGCCTCCAGCTTGGCAAGTAGGCATGGTGCCAAGAACCAAGAACAAAGCAGCAGCCAAGTACACAATCCTAGTACATATATTGATTGGCGATGCCATGAAGACGAGAATATTGCTACTGTTTTGTTTCTCTGAGGACTAGCTATGAGGGGATTATTACTTATGGATGTATCGCATATACAAAGGCACAACCAACTTCAAGTGCATATATTTATACTATCTGAAGGTATGCTCTTTCAATATTTTATGTTTGTTGTTATATCTTGGGGATGGAGATATGGATATCCATATCTCCATCCCCAAGATATAACAACAAACATAAAATATTGAAAGAGCATAGCCGTTAGAGATATGGATAGAGATATGTAGACTATAAAAATACACATCTTAGTATATCCAATGAAGCGGCGGTGCCTAGCCATATAACCCAACTGCCAATGCGACTAATTGATGCACAAGGCATCTGAGTCGCTCGATTGATGAATCATATTACCTATAATTAATTTGGGGCTTATTACCGGTGCTATTCACTACTTGTAACGGTTAACGCAAGTGCTATTTTTACTTTAAGCAATATATACATCTATCAAAGCTAGTATATGGTAGTTCCTTCATTCAAAATTGTAAGACATTTTAATATTTCTACATGCAAGGTTTTTTTATATTTCTATATACAAAGTTTTTGCTATATACAAGTATACACTATGTCTACATACATTTTAAAAACAACGTATCTAGAGAAGCCAAAACGCTAAACAGTATATACCCTAAATAATTTCTCATTTTCGTTAAATAGAAAACACTAAATAAATACATATTTATATATTTTTTTTAAAAAACTAAGATTTCTTTATGTAACTCTAATTATAGAGAAGTGAATAAAATGTGATTTTATACTTTTTACAGTTTATCCGTATATTTTGTTTTTCGCATTAATGTCTCTACATTATGCATATAGAGTGACAAAAGGAGTGACACGTTTTGGCTGGTCTGGATTTGGCACAATTAGGATACTAGATTGTGATCCCACGTCATTAAATGTTGGCATAGGTTCGACACGACACGGAAATGAGCATGCCATACCATATAGGGCCTACTAGACTGACCCAACATATCATGCCAGCCTATGAGTTCATCACAAGAAACCGCTTCATCAACTCAAAATTCGAAGAGATATTCACAATTTCATACATAGATAGATATTCCAATTCACATAACATAGATCAATGATCAATCACAATTCACATTCACATACATATTACATTCTAGTACAACTTCACAATCGCATCTGAACAAATTACATATTCCAATTCCATGCCACAATCTCATGGATACTTCACAATGCATCATAGGGACACATAGGACATCAAAAGGTCTTCATTGTGTCAAGCAGATCAGGGTTATGGTTCCACACACAGGAGATGGTGAAGCCGATAGAGAAAGAGAACGATCAAAGCCGGAGGTGAAACGAATCGGGATTTCAAAACTTGAAATTCCAACTCTCTTGACCCTATGTGATAGTCCTAGGATAACACGGCTATCATGGGCATTCAATTTTCAGCAGATTACAGAGTCATACAACAACAGAGTACTTAAATAAGAATATTACACTAGTTTAGATACAAATCCTTTAGGCTAACATCAAACAAAACACTGATATTCTAGTCATAGCAGCGAAGCTTGGCGAATCTCCAATCCACGGGCATCCTTGAGGGTAGATCACAAACCAACTACTAATCTCAACACCAACTGTAAGTTAAGAAATCTGCACACCACCAGATATGTATAGGCCATGGTCAGCAACGATGAGCTCTGGTGGAAAATAAAAAATTAAGGGATCTTGTGATCCGACTAGTTTAGCTGAAAGTTTGCATCCTTAGCGCATGCAAAATAGCATCAAATATATATAGTAAATCTTCTCAAATCCCAACACATAATCTCATTCTCACCATCCACTCATCATCACATCTCACCACTCATAATCCCTCACATCACCCTCATACTCTCAGTCTAAGTGACGAAGCGGCCAACCCACGCCCCTTGTCTCAAGGGCCTCAAGCCAAACCTATCTTCGGGGGAGAGAAGCAAAGAACAAGAGAAGCTAAAGGGCCAAAACAGATCACAAGAACCGGTCCTAACCAAAGAACCGTGCCTATACGTATAGATTCAACTCTGCAGTGTGTGTACACCTGTACCCACAAGATCTCTAGGCGCTGACTGGCACCCAGCAAATAATGCTCAAGACTTAGTACATTGTTGGCGGTTCTTATCGACAACATTCTATCACCAACTTAAGTCCAAAAAGGACAAAACTAACATATTTTACGCACATATACTTTTACTATTGACATAGTTCCACTTGTATTGCAAGTCTTCTATTTTGCAGCACTTATACTTGGATGCAATGGAATTCTAGTCAAAACGTGCCTTCAGACAAAGTTTAAAGCATATTTTATGCCAAGGTGGCAAGACGGCCTAGCCAACCGATGAATTTGGGCCAAACCCCACCATGGCTGTGCTCCAGGCCCACCAAGAGACCCACCAGGCGAAGGCGGTGGCGAGACAGGCTAGGAAGGGTGCCAAGGGTGTGGTCATACCGCCCCCAGCTCTGCTCGGCCCCACCTCGCTCTGGTGGTACATTGATGATGCCTAGAAGGCGGTTTGGGGTGTTTCCATGTTTACCTCCCCTCAAACTGACCATAGAGTAGTATATAAGAAGGGGGAGAGCTCTCATTCCAACACACACCACACATCAAGAGCTACTCTCCACATTGTACTTTTACTTTTTCCTTAGTTGTGTCTTGAGCAAGGCAAAGCTATCTTGGAGGGCTTGACTCCTAGGAGAGGAATCGTGGTATGAATAAGATGAATCATTCTCCAAAGTCTTTCCTTCAATTTATCAATGGGAAAATTGGTTTCATAGCATTGAAAGATCGTCATATCCGGAAAATACCATCAAAACTTTGCTGCTCCATAAAATACCATCCAAAGAATGCGACGTCACCTCGATATAGCATTCCATCACGTTTGGTGAAAACGTCGCCGCCTCCGTCAAGCTCCTCTCCTTCTTCGTCCTAAGCTGAGTGCAGCCGCTGCCTCTCCTCAGGTGGGACCTGCTCCAACGGCTACCGCTCCAGAGGGATAGAGCAGACCGGTGACGACGGCAACGACAACGGCAAGGCTCTGCGGAGGGTGTCATCGAGGATGCAGCACCTCGTTGACTTCGCCGGGAGGAAGTCGGCGCACAACCTCATCCTCCGCGACATGCTCATGCTCGAGAACCAAGTCCCGCTCTTCCTCCTCTGCAGGATCCTCGAGCCCCAGTGCGAGTACCCCGGCGAGGCCGGCGAGCTGCTCCCGTGGATGGTCACCGAGCTCATGAAGGAGCTCTGCCCATTCAAGATGGTGGACACGTTCCCCGCGATTGAAGTCGCAAGAAGAACGCACACCGCCGAGGTGCTCTACTATCTGCTTGTGCCCAAGCCATGACGGCGCGGGCGAGGGCCGCCGCCACGCAGCGAGCAGCGAAGACGCTACGACAACGAGGAGCAACCGGTGGACGGCGCCGGCGATGAAGAGCAAAAACATGCCGCCGGGCTGCGAGTATGTGAAGCACCGCTGCTCACCATGTCTAGCATGGCGTCGGGGCTCAACAGCGGCCCGATGCGCTACGTGATGAGGCCGATCGCGTTCATTGTCAAGGCACCGTGGAAGATGCTCACCGTCGTGCGGGGGTTCTTAGCGATGAAGCAGCCCGTCGAGGCCTTCTTCATGTCCAAAGACCGACGCGAAAGACGCAAGCCCCACGACCCAAACGGCGTGGAGTCTTAGGGGCTTCGAGATCAAGCCCGCGCCTATGCTTGCCTCGCATGTTGCCGCCGAGCACTCCAAGTGCCCGCCAAGCTCGCCTCAGCTCGCCAAAGATGCCTCCACCGAGCTGCGTCGCACCAACCCGCGATTCCACCCGCAGCGAGCCGATGTGAAGCTCGCCGCCACGAGCACTGTGGCTCCCACCACCACTGCCACTCACGCCGGAGCTCCCGCAAGACCGGAGCCGAGTGTGGCCAAGACGGAGGACCACTCGGCTCTCTTCCTCTAGAGCGACAGCAGTTGGAGCGGGTCCCACCTGGAGGAGAGGCAGCGGCCACACTCACCTCAGGAAGAACGGGAGGAACTTGACGGAGGCGACGACGTTTGGTCTGAATGTGACAGAATGCTATATCCAGGTGACGTCGCATTCTTTCAATGGTATTTTACGGAGCGATAAAATTTTAATGGTATTTTCAGGATACGGTGATCTTTCGATGCTATGAAACCAATTTTCCCTTTATCAATATAGTTATGCTCATGAACTAGAGTATAGTTGTTATGTTATGATCTTAGCATATGAACTACTCTATAGTTTCTATGTTATGATCTTAGTATATAGAACTTTATGCTTAGTCTTTCATATCATGTTTATGAGTAGGATTAGAGCTATGTTGATGTGGTGGATCATCATGCCTTTGGGTGTGCCCATGTCCTTTACTTGTCGATCCGTAGGGTTAGAGTCCCAGGGGGGACTTCGGTAGTTTCTTTGTATGCGGGCATGGTGCCTGGTACAAAGGAACGGGTGAATGCATTTCATGCTCCACGGTTGAGGGGTAGGTGGTAGGTGGTGATAACCCTATCCGTCCCTTGTAATCCCCCATGTTTAGGTATGGTGTAGGAGTACATAAATTGTCACATGAGGATGCTGGTAGACTAGTACTCGGTGGCCTCCCAACCCATCTCACACTTAGCTCTAACTCATGTTCATGTACATGTATGATTATTTGCTATTCTTTGCATAGCTGTATTAAGATATGCCTGCTCCTGTAGAATCATTCTTTTATTCTCTATTCTTTCATCACCTCTCTCACCCCTGAGATATGCTCATGTGTGTGTGTCCACTATCTTGAATCATATAATGTTTACCCCTGTTATGGACAATTGGTTTACTTTACACACATGTTATATTGTTCATATCCATACTAGACTCTTTACACCATGCCTTCTTTGGGACAATATAAATGATGATACCCTAAATACTTTCGGGTGAAATGCTACAATGATAGATCCGTGCGCTTGCAGATATTCTTCTGTAATCATTAAGAACTATCGTTAAGGGTTTTCTTGGCAATGTTACTAGGATACACCAATTCTAGTAACAATGCTAAGAAATGCCAACAAGCATTTATGGCGTTTTTGCCAGGATTGGATTCTATCTCCATTTCCAGTAATGACGTTAAGAAATGCCAACAAGCATCCCTCACCAGACTGCCCCCAACTAGAGTAGCGTACGACATGACGTAACCCTTGGGATCGTGATTAGGGTAGCAGGAAAGCCCATCACATCCTTCTCACTATGCTCCTAGGGCCTCAAAAATCCCCATGTAGCTTTACTCCCACAGAACTAGCTTAGTCTGCAGTAATTCACAGAACAGGCCCCACATCATTAGAGGCTCGTGGTGTGCACGCTATCAAATACCTGTTTAATAGGCATCAACCCTACCCTTAATTGGCCAGAGCAAGCAGCTTCCACCAACATGTGGCTCACCCCTCATGGGTAGCCATCTCCACCACACTTTTCTCATAAGAATCATATCCAACATGTCCAGAAGAACCAGATCCGGGGTACTCCATGCACCCAGTGCACCACTCTAGGGTAAATCTCACACTCTGGCCGATATCAGCAAAGAAAGGGGTCAAGACAAGGAATGTCTTTGGAGCTCCTCATATCACCACCACCCACTTGGGATTCAACACTCCTATCGTGCCAACTTACTATCTATCTCACGGGAAGCCTCATGGCCTACCCCTATCTACCAACCACAACATCACCATCACATCACATAACAAAGGCATATATGTAATTATGATGGAAGTAAATGCAAGCAAGCAGGTAGGCATATATAAGTGCAATCACAGAGCTAGGCAATCATGGTGAAGTGTTTTCAATCAAGGCAAGCAAGGTTCAGGCAATTGCATGCATCACATATACTAGCAAATCAACAAAGTAAAGCGCTAGCAATCTACTTTGCAATGCCCAATTGGATTCTCTAAATAAGGTGATGCCATGACACCTACGATATGGAGGAAGTAGTGGTATGTGCCCTTTGAAGTTGATGCCATCCATCCACGAGGTCCATCTCCTCTGGGTGTGTTGTCAGTTCCATGGGAGCGAAGCAGTCTACGACAAACAAACACTGAGAACGACAATGACTAAGAAACCACCAAAATCACAAAAGGGGAACCCGACTAACCAAGAGCGACAAGAAATAACACACACACACGAACGAAACTCCGACAAGGACCAAAGGAAACAAGGGCGAACCCTCATAGAATGAGTTTGTTTCATCGGTCTCAAAAGAGAGCAGGGCAGAAGGTCGGCTAAGCATACGTCCAAGTCACGTCCTCGGTGTAGCCTGTGCTACCTAGCTGATCAGGTCAACTCCTATGCTTCTGAGGATCATGGCTTAGACCTTGGTTTGCTAACAAGCAGTGATAGTCCATGATCTCAGATCCAATCGCCATAGCAACAGACGAGATTGAATAGATTAGACTATAGAAGGGAGATAGGGAATTGGTTTCTAGCTCTCTCGATTCGCACGTCATGGCAACTGATGGGAAATGATAGATTGTGGAACAAGAGCACTGTAACACCCTAGAATTTGCTTGTTTTGAAATAGAGATAAATTGAGTTAATTATGAAGTTCTCTATTTCAAAACAATTTATCATAGGGCTTAGCAACATTGATGGTGCATTCATGCTGGTGCATTTGATTTATTGAGATGAGTGGTTTTGACGAAAATTCAAAAATGAATTCAAATGCTTTTGAAAATGGTTTTGGAAAGGCATTGAAATAATAAAAAAAAATCTCCTTTTGTCCCTTTTGGCCAGAGAGGCCTAACTAGACAAGCCTATGCTCCATCCCCATAGCCCATTTTGCCTCCCCTTGCCTTCCAACCCGCAAGCCCAACCAGATGAGGCTGGCCTAGCCTAGACAAAGGCCTGTGCATGCGCCCCCTTTCTTCGTCCACGACCTAACCGAAGCCGAGTGGCAGCGCTCCGTGCCACCTCCCCCTTGCTCTCTCGCTGACCACCAGGCCCCATCCCTTTCTCTCATTGCTGACACCCCAACCCCACCTGCCAGCGTCGTCCATAACCTCTGTTCGTGCCCAAGCCAGACTTTGTCCGGGCAAAATCCTGCAGTCGTGCCCCGATTTCTTGGGATTGTACGCGACCTCCAAGCCTAGCGCCCCTATATAAGTCCAGACCCTATGCGTGCCGCCCCTATCCAACCCTTGCACGAGTTGCCATCTCTGCCTCAAGCTAATATCACCGCCGAAACCCTAGCAAACCACCCCCGCCGTCGATCTCTCCTGCTACAATTCCTTCATCACGATGAGCTCTGTCCCGACCTTCGCATGCAGGTAAGGAAGCTGTCGGTATAGCTCTTGACCTCCCAACCGCTCTTTCCTGCACCTGCGAGCTCGTCGAAGCTACGCCGAGGTGCTGAGCTACCCCGTTGAGCCCCACGACGTATTTGAGCCTACACCACCGTCGAAAACACCCTGGGTCAGATCGTCAGTCCCTCCTCTTTCTCCCCGTGCCCTAGGGCCATTAACTATTCACTTTAATATCACTTAAATTCATGATGAATCTGTTGCACCTAGGGCCATTTCATAGCTTTGCTGGTGGTGATTTCAGCCACCATGTCGCCACCTGTTCCGATCGGCCAGCATCTCTCTTTCTCCCTCCTTCTATTCTGAGCCGTCAAACTCAGATCCGACAGCTCATAACCCCCATACCCCTTCGTGTGTCCATTTTGCAAAAGACCCCCCTTGTTTCCCAAAAATCAGACCCACAATCCCCGGCCGAATTCCAAATTCTGATTTTTGTTTTATTCGAAAAATCAGTTCAGTTTATTAATAGTTTTGCCACTAGTCTTGATTTACTCATAAAATCTTTGTTTTAACTCCGATTCGATCTGTTCAAGTTGTGTTAGGTTCATAATCAAGTAATCTACATATTTATACCACTATTAATCATGTTTTCAACTTTTAAATTTTGTGGTTAGATTTAATCTATTATTTTGCTATAAGAAATTTTGTTTAAATCATAACTTCTTCGTTTTAAATCCGATTTTTGTAATCTTCGCATCTATGTGTTCATAGCAAGATGTAGATTCACTTTGTAAACTTTATAACTTGTTTTTACAATGTTGGTGTACTGTTCTAATGACAGACTTATTTGCATTGCATGATTGTCTCTAGATGCTTGTATCTTGCTATGTTGATCGAGCACAGATGGTGAGTAGATCGTTGTTGACCAGGAGTTCTTTGTTGACAACTAGGATCAGCAGGAGCCTTTTGAGCAAGGCAAGTATAATATGGGATTATCCTTATTGTCCTATTCACCTTAATATCACTTTAATTCATGATGCATGTGTCTAATTTCAGAGCCTTTAAGGATTTGACCTAGTCTTTGTTATCTATTACCTTGTCACCTATGCACATGGGTAGTTTGATATCTCTCAACATAAACAAACATGATTTGAATGATGACTAATTGTTTTATGCTACAAATGATAAAACTTGTTTTTTAGCAACATAAATATAGGGTGAGAGAGCTTTTGGCTTATATACATGATGCTCTTGGCCCTCCCTAATGACTTATCTGTCAGCAAAAGCTATGACATACAGTACAATCGCGAGGGCTATATGGTTCTGGCATTATTTCGGTAAAAGGACATTTTCTATCTTGTTAGTGGTTACCAAAAGGCGCAGGAGGGGCTTGCCATGTTGGG